CCCATCTTGGAGAGAGTGGAAGGGAGCTCATCAGGTCCTGCTGCCCTGCCTCGCTTCAGAGATTGAGTGCAAAATCGAACTTTTGCCTCCGTTTCAGGATCGCATGACACTGCCCACGGAGCTTCAGTCGGAGATGAAGCAGCCTGGTTAGCACTAGGTCAGCAGTTCAAACCACTGATACTGAAGCGCTCTTGACCCTAAGGTCCGAATGCCACACCACCCAACTTTGGCGTTCGTCAGCTTTACTCTCCTCCTGCGTACTCCACCTGTTTTAGAGACCTTATGTGTTTTCTCACCTCCGTTGCCGGGATTTGGTTTGTCGGTCGCCGGGAGTGAACACTATATCCTGAAAATCACTTTGATGTTCACTGTATCGACTGTTCATCACATAAACATATGTCATAAAATAGTTGGCTCTGAACCGCATTCGCTTCCTTTCTTTGATTTACCACTAGAATAAACAGATTCGATGTTTTCTTTGCTAGGGTATTGAGCCTTATCCCTGACACTGCCATCAATTGCTAGGTTATCTTACTTGTTTCCTCCCGATCGGTCTTTTTCGTTCTCCACAGACTCAGACTGCAGATGTCGGGGACAAGGTGATCCAAGAATTACCACCGGTTTCCACCGGCACAGTATTCGGTTACGATGATGAAACAATGCGTCGAATCGCCGAAGCGGACGCAGCCGATCGCGCTCGGCGGTCACGTCGTCAACGTCGTCGCTGTGATACGGAATGTTTGGAATCCGGTGTGCCTACTGTCGACCAAACCCAAATGGACGTGGACTCAAATCTGATAAAAGTGAACGAAGAAGTTGGCGATCTGATGAACTACAAGCCTCATGAGGAGTTAGAGATTGTGGAGGATACTCTGGCCGTGTTAGATGAGGAAATGCACGACCAGGAAGCGTTTGACAATGACGAGGAAGATGATGACGAAGAGGGACTTCCGAGCAGTCTAATCCCGTAAGTTATTTCACAAACGTCCGATTAGGCGAACAAGAACAACAACAAGAACGTTCCCGAACACCGTTTAACTGATGTCAAGTGGCTTTCCAATGCATCTTTCATTGCCCAGTGCGGGTACTGCACACGTTCAGAAAGTGCCCTAGTAAATTAATTGTTTTAGTCATGTACAATGTGAAATATGTCTGGGGTTTATCAGGACTGCATTGATTGAATGAGATTCTCAATCGTTACGTTTCCGTTTACCAAAATTTTGATGGACACCTTTGCCATCTCCGCTGCTCTGTTCGATGCACAGCATCCAGGGGGCGTGGAGGCGCGGGGGGGGGGGGCCCNGGGGGGGGGACCCTGAAAACCGTGAATCGTCCTCAACCGATGTGATCAACAGGTTTTTTCATTAGGGAAATTCAATTTTTGAAATCGCGAAGCCGAAGCCTGAAAGCATCCTGCCTCATGCTGTTCATCAGAAGAGTAGTATGAGAATGAGCATCCTGTCAACCTGACTATTGTCAGTGTGGGTTGGAAACGCGCACACACACACAAACTTGTCCATGCCACCAGGGTGATGACACATGTTACACTGTACGAACCAGATCGGCTTGGTTTGTGGGGCTTAACTCAGTTATTACATTTTTTGGCAAAATCACCAACTTCTGTCCAGCACATAATTGTCTGTCCCTGCCTGGCCCCTTAATACTCACTGTTCGTTATTTTGATTTGTTTGCTCTCGTGTGTGTGTGTGTGTGTGCACGCGCTCAGGCAATGGCTGTTGTCGAACAGATTTTCGCTACACCCAATAATTGTTTCGATTACGTAACTGTTTCGGCTGGTCATCAGTGCGGGACTGATTCACACGCATGCATCAGTCGCTCGCTCCTATGCGTCCCATTGTCCGCCGCGATGTGACCAAAATCGTTTGATTCAAAAGTTTTGTGGTTGATTGTTACAGTCATTGTTATTTTTTAAAATGTTATTTCATGCATTAATTGCACCTAGTGACTTCGGTACATTGACCGTTAAACTCTTTTTCTCTCTCTCCTCTTATCCATACCAGTCGTATAAATATTGGAGACGCATTTCAGGCCGTAATTCCCGAGTTCAACGCCGGTGAGTTTCTTCACATTTTGAAATCTGATCATGAACTGAGCTGTCTGATTCATGTGAATTGATGGTGCACGTCTCTTGGTGATCCCTCGGTTTCTCGTTCATTCACATTACTTTCGTGAAGAGTCCAATGGGTTTCAATTTCGAGTGGAAATAAATTGTCCTTTACCC